AGCTTTAGTACATGCTGTATTATTTTCACTTGTTGATTTATTTTTTTTGTGGTAGCTAGTTTTGAGATTTCCTGTGATACTTGGTGTATAGTCTAGGGAAACTCTAGTCTTGTTATTTATTGTTTATTCAAAACACTGTTTAATTGTAGATTTGGCTGCCAGAGGAAGTTATCTTTTGCATGTGTCTGTTGAGAATTGTATATGTTACCTTTTATTCAGAGAACTGAAAGTAGTTAATTTGGGTCACCTTGTTACTACTCAAAGTGATTGGTTTAGTGTGTACTTGTGTACCTGGCTGACAGACCCGTCCCCATGGTGGGTGAGTTGTACCAGGCCCTAAATAGGTGAGGAACTGACTTCTGGACCTTTGGGCAGAGGCGGGAGTTCCAGGCACCTGTGCCCTTACCTTATGGACGTCGCCTTGGCAGACTCACATAGCTGCTGTTGCAGCAGGACACACAAGACACCAGTTTAAGCCTGGCACTGCGGTGGTGTAGCACTCAGACACCTGGCTATAGCTCCCATCTCTTGCACACGTGCCTCCCCCCAACCTTAGACCAGAAGTAAAACGTGTCTCGGAAAAGCTTTCTGAATTTAGGGCTGTGTGGGGACAGGTGGGACAGGCCTGAGGTGCTCCGGCACTGTCAGAAGTCGGTGTGCCTCTGCAGGTCACCCTGTCCCTGTGCTTAGAAGTGAACTCTGGCACCATCAGCCTGGCTTGTTAGAAATGAAGCACAGAAATACAAAGACCTGTTTCTTGAGCAGTAGATCCACTCCGACATGCAAAGTCAAAATAGCCTTGCATTTGGGAGACAGACAAATATAAATAGAGAAGCCTGATTTACAGCAGTAGTTTAGGAGATAAAATTTCAAGCCACTAGTTTGGTTTCAAACAGAGGGCTAGAGTGGAGTGGAGAAAGGACATCTTATTCCCAAAGTGATTATAAATAAAGTGATATTTTTATAAAAACTTGATCAATTTTCTGAGGGGAAAGATGCCAAGATTCTCCACTGTTATCTGTGATGCTATTAATAGCAGAAGACAAAACCAGACTTTATTGTGAGCTTTCCAAGACATGTTTTATCTCCCAGTAAAAATAGTGAGGTTCAGAAATGTGAAGCTTTGATATTTTCGACAATATTTTTATCCTTTTTCCTTAAAAAAACAAAAACTTCAGTTCCCTTTCTGAAGAGCAGATTTATTTTTCAACCCAGCAGATCAAACCCAGAGCAGGGCCTTGAGCATTTGGGTGTGTGCTTTGCCCAGCTCCAGCATTTGATTTTTAAAATTAAATTCTGTGTGCTTTTAACGAAAGTGGATCCTTAGTGTAGCTAATTTAATCACCTAATAGAAACAGCACTGTGAAGTAGATCGGTATTTAGGGTAGAACTTGTTTTTTTTTTTTTTTATCTTTAAACGTGTTCTCTCAGCACAGAAACACACAGAAGCAGGGGTCAGACAGGAGCAGCCTGGGGTGCCCCACTTCTCACAGCCTCAGCCCCTCTTTGTGCCCATCCCTCACTCCTTTTGATAACAGTCTGCTTCATTTCCTCCTCTGCTCCAGAACCTCCCACCTTCCCGGTTTGTCCCTATCCCCAGCTGGTGCTGTGATGGAGCATGAGGGTGGCTGGGAGTGGGCAGGCTGCACCTGAGCTCAGTGCAGGAGTCCGTGGGGTGGAGAGTCGGCCCTTAGAGCCCTGACCAGCTGGACCTTGGTGTTAGAAGTCCTGCTTACTTAGTCTGTGATATGTATGGTTCAGTAGGCATCCTGGACCAGCCTGGGGATGTGAGGCTGTCTTCCAGGATTGATTCCTGTTCCCCATACCAATCTCTGGGACCAGCACGTCTCTCCACCCCGGGGTGACTAGAATAGCTGCTCCAGGGCTGGTTGCGCTGTAACAGGGCTCCTGCTGCACTCATGGTATTGTAGCACTCATTTGGGGCAGCCTCGAGGCATTTGTCAGTCCTTCTCCTCACTCCCTGGAGCTACAAAGACCTTGTGTGGGCCCCTGGTGCTGCCTCAGCCCTGGCCATTGCCCTCTTGTCCCAGGGTCTGCCTGCTCTTCCCTCACTCTCTTCTGTTGTGCTGCAGGAGGCCGATCTGGGACCTTGCTCCGTACTGCTCACTCAAAGCTTCTCTAGTATCTCCTGCAGTAACCGGAATTCCTTAGCCCAACTCCCACTCTGGGAGCAGCAGCCCCCATTCTCTTTGGCTGGACACAGCCCATGTAGCTGGCTCTCTTTGGCCGCGAGGCAGATCCCCAGTGTAGCAGGCAGAGCAGCCTGGGTGCACAGGGCCTGAGACCTTCCCCTAGGGGAGTAAGGTTTCTTCCTTCCAGGGTGCCTGTCAGCTCCTGTCCCATCCCCAGCAGAGTGGCAGTGAAGTCATGCTCCAACCCAGGTTCATTGCTGTGTCTGTCTTGGGCACCCAGGCCATCTTCTGGCCTCACCAGGCCCCAGCTTCTGCTGCTCTGCTGGCCCAGACACTGGCTTTGGTGTCTTAGGTGAGCCTTTGTCTGGGCTGAGGTGTCTGTGTTTTATGGTACTTCTTCAGGAGAGCATGTGTGCATACGCATGTGAGAGGAGACGCAGGAGAGCAAGGGAATGGCTGCTTCTTGGCCGTATCTGTCTTCTTTGCTGCCACTTTAATTAAAAAATTATTAAGTAAAAAAATTATTGAGGCAAGGTATTCATGTCAGAATTAACCATTTGAAAGCAAACAGTTCAGTGACATTTAACACATTTACAGTGTTCTGCAGCCACAGACTCCATCTGGTTCCAAAACATTTACATCACCCCTGAAGGCATCCTGTACCCAGGAAGCTGTCGTTGCTACAGCAACCGGGACAGTGCAGGGAAGGGCAATCTGAGCTGCACAGGACTCCACACCAGGCCTGTGCTGACTGAGCACTGTTGTTTCTGGAGGATTCATCCTGCATGCATTTGGCCCTTGGTCTCTCAGTGGGTTGAGTGCTGCTGTGATAGGTGTGGAGTGCAGCTCCCACCGTAGGAGCTTTGTTTGTGCATGTGAACTTGGCTGGAAATGGGTATCTTACTAGCAGCTAGATTTATAAAGCACTGTCACAAACCCAGTTGGCTTGTGCAAAAAGTAAAAAGGGGGGGCGGGGCAGGGAGATGGCTCAGTGGAATAAGCGATTCCCTGGCAAGCGCAAGGGCCTGAGTTCAATCCCCAGTTCCGGAAAAAAAAAAAGTAAAAAGCCTACAACATGGCTGGGTATGATGGTGCACACCTATAATCCCAGCACTCAGGAGGCTGAAGCAGGAGGATCATTGTGAATTCAAGACCAGCCTGGGATACATAATGAGATATCCTGCCTCAAGCCCTCCCTACCAGCACTAATAAAAAAGCAGAATATTATTCTCTCAATGGTATGCTGTAATGTAATAGTCTTTTTCTCTTTCTCCTTCTCCTCTTCTTCCTCTTCCTCCTTTTCTCTTTTTCTTTTTCTTTTTGGTAGTCCTGGGGATAAAGCTGGGACCTGAGGCACGCTAGGCAAGCACCCTTCCTCTGGGCCACATTCCCAGCTCTTTGGTGAACATTTAGGTTGGCCCCAGTTAGTCATGGTTTCGTGTAGTGCTGCAGCAGTCATTGTTGGGCGTGTGTGCAGTGGGCATGCGTGTGTCTGGAGAGTGGGGTGGTGTGCAGCACACTGCAGGGCCCAGGAGAACGCGACTCCTTGCTGTGTTTCCCGCAGCCCCTCCATAAGGGAGCTCCCTCATGTGCTACTCCATGCCAGGCTCATCTTTTAAAGCCCCCCATCTGTGCTAAAAAATGTTTATTTTTTTAATTGTTACTTCTGTAATTTTAAATGACATGAGACAGCATTTCATATTTTTATTGTGTATTTTCATTTTTCTTATGGGAATTGTGTATTCTTAGCCTGGTTTGTTTCCTTTGGTTTTTTTGGTCTTTATTATTAATTTGAAGTATTATGAATTACTGATATGGGCCTTTTTTCTGTATTTTTCTTCTTTTTAGTATGTTTCATAGTGCTAGAATTTAAACCTTTCCAATATGCTTTGTTTTTAACCTGTATTTTTGAAATGTAGTTATATTATCATGAGTATGGTTAGCTAAATATTATACATGTAATTTTTGCATTACAAATTCCTTGCAGGAGCTATTTTTCTTATAGTATTTTGGGCATAAATAGTCTGTAATTAGGCACTTGTTATACTTAATCAGTGATGACTTTGTTTGGGTTAAAGCCCTTATTGTTCTTCAGGATAGATTCCTGGGAATAGAAACATTTGGTGAGAGTAAAAATATTTTGAAGTTCCTGCTGCAGCCCTGTGGAAGCCAAGATCATTCTGCTGCCCCTTTCTGAGGAAAGCTGTGGAAAGCGAGGGGCTGAGACTGCTGCTAGGTGTCAGGTGCTTTCTTTGAATCCATCCCAGGATAGGTTCTGGGACTGCATGGAGGACACAGAAACTAGACTGTATGGGTATAGGCATCTGTGCCCCATCATTACTGCCCCACACTCCTGACATACACATGCCTCCTAGTACCCTAAGCAGGTGCACACTACAGCGGGCTTGTCTGCCTAAGGGTGGTAAGAAATGGACAACTGCTAGCCAGTGAGGTGAGCAGTGCCAGTGCTGTGGCTCCCAGCACTTCTTCCCGCCCATTAGCTGCAGGAAAGTCAACTCAGCATTTGTGGAGAGATCTTGATGGAGGCAGCAGAGGCCTGTCTTGCCTCTGAGCACCCTGGAGCGTGCTGGGGTCCCGTGGCCTTGGGTCCTTCTGAGTCATTCCAGTTCCTGTCTCCCCCGAGGAGTCACTCTGGTTCATGCACCTTCATCCAGTGGGATCCATCATGTTACTACTCCCTCGAAATTTGTACCTGCTCCCTGCACTGCAATGCCCAGTGCCACTTTAGCTCCAGGAGAGTCTTGGTGGGCTTTGGGGAGAAGCACGTTTCTGTACAGCCGAGTGCTAAGTGCCGAAGCAGACACTTCATGGTGTGCTTCTCCTCAGGTGGTGATCAATGGAGGGGCCACGTCCAGCGGGGAGCAGGACAATGAAGACACAGAGCTCATGGCCATCTACACGACGGAAAATGGCATTGCGGAGAAGGTATTTGTCCAGTCTCGGGCTGCTGAGTCCCACTGTCCATGGCTTGGGGTGTGTTGAGAGTGTGTCCATGGTGTGTTCTTTTTGGAGTGGAGGTAGGAGTCATAGTTACTACTTCATTTGTCTTGATGACAATGAAGGTGAGACCCTGATCAGGGATATTATACAGATTTTATTTAAAGACAGGGTCTGACTATGTAATCCAGGCTGTTACTAAACTATATTGTCCAGGCAGGCCTCAAACTGAGGCCTCCTGGACAATCCTCCTGTCTCAACCCCCTAAGTGCTGGAATTACAGGTGTGTGGCAACACCCTTGGCATTATCATTATATAATATTAAAAACCTCAGAGGGTGTCAGGGAAAGATGTTAAGAGCTTGAAGGCTAGAATCAGACCTTAAGGATATTACTACAGCTCTGTGGACATCTGCTTTCTATTCTCTAAAGTGGGATATGAGTATAAACCAAACATGCTTAATCGGGAAATCCATTTCTTCAGTGCCGCTGAGAATTTTCAGAGTTTGGGGCAATTTTGATTTCAGATTTTCAGGTGTCCAACTGACAGATATTTCAAAACCTGAAAACCTCTGGTATATGAGACATTTCATCTGTTAGCATTAGCATCTATCCTAGATCCTTATCAGGACTGAATGAAATTATTTATAATATTTATATTAAAAATGTTAGCACTATGCTTGCTATATTCCAACACTGTAGTAAGTGAGAGATTTAAAAAAAATCATCAGGTAGCTCCATATAGACAGAAGTGCCTTTGATGGAGCTCTGGACAGAGCACTGAAAGTAATATTGCTATATTATTCAGTATTGTATCATGTAATGAAATTCCTGACACAGGGTAGATGGGAGTAGAAAGGTTTATTTTGGCCATGAAGGCTGGAGGTTTGAGACCAGGTGGCCGTGGATTGGGCTGCTGTTGAGCAGGGTTCATCATGACAGAAAAATGTGGGAATGAGTGATTTAGGTGCGTATGTCACACACACACACACACACACACACACATACACACACACACCCCATGGTCTCAGTACTTCCCACTAGGCCCTCCCTCTTAAGAGCCTACAGCACCTTTCAGTAGTGCCCTTCTGGGACCAAGCCTTTAATAGTGAAACTCTGGCATGTACTAAGTTGGGGAAAATGTATTTTGCCTCATCTTTGTTACTAGTAGCCCTATCCTGCAAGGCTATAGGCTGTGGTCAGTGTTGAGCTGGCCTTTGTGTGGCAAGTGCAGCATCCATGACAACATCATACTTAGCAGAATAACTAGCTCAGTGCAGCATTCCTGGTTAGGGTCAGTGATATGCTAGGGCTCCCAGGGTTCAGCCACATTGAACGCCTCATGGTTTGTTCTTGTTTTGTTTTGTTTTCTTTATTTAAAGAAAGGATAGAGATTAAAGTGATGGAAAAAGACACATAGGCAAGTATAGGAGTCACCATGTGTTGGCTTCTGGTCGTCTTCTCCCCAGAGAGTATTCAGTCCCAGCAGTAATGTGTGACAGCACTCATAGGTGCTCCCCTTCTGAGGAAGCACACCCCAGCCTGGTGTGCAGGTTCACTCTCAGGGTTGGTCACACAGGTCTACAGAGTTGACTTAAGTTATCTGCAGAGGCTGGCTGATTATCTGTGCCCTGACAAAACTCTCATTTTTAGCACAAACATTTGGCCCAACCTAAGGTTTCCAGTTACAGACCCACTCTTAGGAGGCAGGACGTCAGAGGCTGTCTCCCAGGCACTGGGCAGGAACCAAACGTTCTTTTGAAAGGTGCAGGATTTGGACAGCACCAGCCTACTGAACTGATCTTTCTGCACACAGATC